GTAGACACTGTTGTTTGCATCCCAAAGTTTTAATTAAGACTACAACAGAACACATTATTACCATTACTATTGTTCAAAAAGATCTTCATTCACTTTTACATTGATTTTAGTACTTTTTATCATAGATTTGCCTTAATATTTTGTAATTATTGTACAGCTTATAGGGCCTTCAGCTCTGTTCTGAAGGCCCCACAACCTGTCTGCCTGGAAGCTTCTACTGAACTCTGTAATGACTTCCTGCAGTTTTTTTTAAATAAGGTTGTTACCACAAGGGCACTTATTTCATCCCCTGCTTTTGACCCCTGCTCCTTGGTTCCCTGCATGGCTGTTTGATAGATTCGAGTCAGTGACTCTAACCCTTTTAGAGGATGTGATCAGCCATATTAAGCCATCAGGTTCCCCTCGTGACTTTGTCCCCCTTCATTTTTGAAAATAGTTTTTTTCCAGCATCAGGCAGGTGATACTTGCTGTTATAAATAGCAGTCTGTGCTCAGGTGTTGTCCATATAAGCTTTAAACATGCCGTGGTGCAGCCACTGCTTAAAATAACCTAGCCTAGATCAAACTGTCTTGGCTAATTTTAAGCCCATCTCCAAGCTGCTTTTTATTTCTAAAATTTTAGAAAAAAATGTATATTACCAGATCAAATGTTTATGGGATGAGCACAATATCCTGTAGGATTTACAGTCTGGTTTCAAAACTTGGCACAGCACAGAATCAGCTCCAGTCAGAGTTTTTAATTACATTCTTATGGCTAATGATTCTGGTGAACATGTGGTTCTTGTCCTGCTCCACCTAACCGCTGCCTTTGATACAGTGGACCACAACATTTTAATATCATGCTTACAGCACCAAGTGGGTATCTGTGGTACTGCACCAACTGAATTTGCTCTGCTCTGTTTTTACTGTTTTTATTGAACTTAATCTTGTTTTGATCTTAACAACTGTTTTATTTTTTTTTATGTTTAAACTTTCTTGATTTTATGTGTACAGCACTTTGTTGCAGCTGTGGTTATTTTAAAGAGATTTATAAATAAAGTATTATTATTGTTATTATTATTATTATTATTAATAAAAAAGTTACATTAATTTTTCTACCTGTTCTGCTTTGACTCCAATCATTGAAGTTCCTTTGCTGACTGTCTCGGATTAAGTGTGTCCATTAACTTCAGTGTAGGAGCCCAGTCTGAGTTTGACTTGTCATACAAGTCTGCAGGCCTTCCTGAAAAAACAAATAATTCAATAGAACTGCTACAGTTGTGGAAAGTAATACCCAAAAGATTAACATGTGTTATGGAATATTTTCAGTACAGGAATATTATCCCAATGCTTTATTCACACATGGGTGGGGGTGGGGGGGGGGGGTGGGTAAGAGACCCCAAATCAAAACAAATTGATAGTTCTAGTCTGACAATGTTGCAGTGATCAAATATTATGTACTGTATATTAAATGCAATGTGTGTATATATATATATATATATATATATATATATATATATGAATTATTGACAAATTTGTTTGTATATGCTTTAATTTATATTTAACTGATATTTACTCACGTTTTAGTACAATTTTAGCTGAATGAGTGTGTGTGATTGTTTTGACAGTTATCTCACTCCATATTAGAACGGGTAATGTTTTGTGTGCTTTTGTAATGCCATTCTTGAAGCAGACTATCTTGAAAAAGAGATTTTTTAAGTCTCAGTTAGATCTAACTGGTTAAATAACGGTTTAAAATCAAATATTAACATGCAGCCTTCTAACAAAACGAGCTCAGGCTCAACACGGGACTAGAACCAGAACTTTGTTGCAGTGAGTGTTACAGGGTGAAGGTATAGCACATAGCATAGCTAAGCTACCTACCGTAGAGACGTGCTAGATCATGAGCAGAGTAGTTCCAACTAGAGTTGCATTCGGGCCCAAAAAATACAATCCTACCCAGCTCCAGCCCGTAGCCATCATTTGCGAACCCCAGCCAACCTGAGAATGAACCTGAAAAAAAAACATTTTTAATTAAGCTTTGACTGTTTATATAGTTATTAACAGTCGGCGGACGCGCGCAGCTGAATAAAAGGGGCAGAAGATCAGAGCTGAGGGGGTGTTTGTCCTTTCATGGCTGTCAAAGTACATTAAATTCCTGTTTCTGCCTGCATTCTGCATTATTCAGACATGGACCCTGCTGGATCGCTTCCTGGCAGTACCAGTAGTCTCATCTGAAGTTTAACTGAACTGTTTTTATTTTTATTTTTTTTACCTCTTTCAAGGCCAGCTAGAGCCAGCGTTGGATCCGCCCCTGATGTTACGTCACAAGAACTTGTTTGTTTTTTTTTGGTGAAAATCTTTATTAAAAGATAAACATTACAACATCAGTACACATTCAAACAAATAAACAAAATCCAGGAGGATAATTCAAATAAACACATTAAATAAGGTGCACAAATCAAATGGTTTTATAGTTTTCTTGTTATTAGAGTAAGAAATGTTTACAATGTACTGTTAAAACTCCTTTAGAAGGCCTGAAAGTAGGGAATAGAGTGACTAAACTTTGATTTGTGCATGTGGCATTTCCCTAGGAGTATTATCAAATGTATGATATATAGTTCTGTCTGTTTTTTTTTTACTTTTGACATCATGGACTCTAAACAGAAATTTAGTCAGTCTTTCTATGAATAAACCAGACGACTTCTTTCCAGAAGGTGGCAGTAGTGTGACAGAGTCAGAACAGGTAAATCACAGTTTCAGACTCACGCAGAGAGCAATTTACACAAATATCTTTCTTAAAATTTAACATGTACTGCTTGGCAGGGTAATATCTGTGGATTAATTTATAAAACTCTTCTCTCACTTTGTTTATAAGCAAATATTTATATGGCAATTTCCACACATGTCACATAAGAACTAGGTTTTCAAGCTGCAGCGATGACGTCAGAAGGAGGAGAAACTTTCAGCCAATCAGCGTCGCCAGCTGAGCTAAGCACATCCTCGGTGCTTGTTGAATGGAGAAGGTGAGCAGTCGCTCAAACTGTCGCGAATAAAACATTCAAACATCTGCCCCTGTGCTCACTAGCGTTTGAGAAAGGCGAAACAAGAGGAGATCCAGCAGATGAAACGAGTAAGTAGCAAATAAGTCGGCATTTAGCATTTTATTTCGCCATATTAATCAGTCCGCTTGTTACAACCTGTTCTGCACGATGAACGCCAACAAATGTGTAGTTTATGTCTCAGCTGGAGTTAACAGACCGGACAGAAGCATTGACTGAGTGGAGTAGTAAGATTTGACACCACCAGGTGGTAATTCAAGCCAACAATCCACCTATTTACCTCTTGACTCGTTCATTTCATTCAAACGTAATTAGCCATCTGTGTGATGCGTTCATGTGAGATTGATTTAATTGGAAACTGGGGAGTCACTTAATTTTTGCCACGTCTTTCACGAGATGGCATGTAAACTGTGATTTATTTTTTTCATAGTTCTATTCTTTACGATGCATGTTTATTTTACAATAAAGTTGCCACTGATTAATTTCACCCTTCTTGTTGTAGGATGGAAAATCAGGATAATTGTTTGCACAGGTCTCGCAGCAGAGATGCACCAGACCAGTCTGCCTCCTCTGACTTGGACAGCTCTCTGGAAGGGGAATCTAGACCTGGGAGACATCAGCAAGGAGACAACCATGTCACAAGCAATGGTGAGGATCTCCTCTTTCATTAATCCGTTTAATGAAAACACTGAACTCTTCACTACAATGGATTTTTACATGATTAAACCTTTTAATCATTTTTAGTTGAGTACGTTACCACAGAGGTTTTATACAATGAAACCATCCCATGTGATGTCTTCCTCTTTAGCTTGACCTTTGGTACAGTTTGTGTAGTTAATCATTTTGGAGACGTGATGAGGATGACTTCCATGATGGTCGGTACAAACAAAATTTACCAGTGAAATTGCTACAATGCTTGCGTCACATTGAGGATTTTGCTGTACGTTTTAAACTCTATAGAAAGCTTTCATTTTAGGGAACTAATCATTGTTGTAATCACTGATAATTTCCTAATTTGCCAATCAAGTCAACACTCTTATTTTAATGATTTTATCTTGGTAGGGGGGAGGAATGCTACTTATTGCTCATCACTGTTGACTTTAAGAACAGTGCAAACTTGTTTATGTGATTTTCTTTCAAAACCGTTAACCCGTGGTAACCTTTCCTACAATTAGTCATCTGATCCCCTGTAGGTGTGTGTAATTTGGGTTTTGCTGCTGTGCATCTAATAAAATTTGGCATTTTCTAATACAACTGAAATAAAACTATTGTCTACTTTGACAGCATTTGAGCTGATTTATGCAGTTACATTGTTAGTTATGTTGTTGATTGAGACTCGTTTGAAATCAGAACAAAGCTTTGCTTTAAAACTCAAAGCTTAATTTAAAACTGTCAATTGGCCCTTTTTTTTTTTTCTTAACAAAGTCTTATGAGCAACTTTTACATGTTCTTGTTTTTAAATCCAGGAAGAATTGAAGTGGAACATGTGATTGGCAGAAAGATGCAACTACAAAGGAAAGCGGAGGTTAGTGACTTGATATTTTGCTCAATATAAGTTTACATGTGGAAATGCAACACTTAAAATAAGGAAATCATGTGCTCCTCTTTGTGATTTTAAAACAAATGTTTCAGGTTATTTAAACCAGTGGCATTCTAGTTTTAATTTTTATCTTAATTTTAGGCTTTTGCTGATTTCACATGACAAATTTGCCTCAACACATCTCCTTGATATGCTTTAATCTGTATATAATCTGTCGTCTGCATGCTATATACAGAATAATTATCACGACTGCTACAGGAGATGAAAATAAAATTGGAGCACAGAGTTGTAATTATAATATTTTTGTGTTTTTTGTTTGGACAGTGCCTGAAGAACGACCTGATGCGTCAGTTTGACAGCCATGTCAGTGACTTCATGGATAGTCTTATTGAAGAAGCGGCGAGCCTCAAAGCTGCTCCTGCATCTGCCGTCTTCTCCCCACCCCTGTCGGACAAGGAGAGGAGTAAACTTGGGTAATGTGGTTCAGTCCTTTATGTTCAACCAGATAAATTGAATTAATCTTACTGTTTGGAGTTCGTGGTAGATGTTGACCTTTCCCAAATTCTCTCCGGTCACATTTGTGCACTTAATTTCACGGCTTTTTCTGATTTTTCATCAGGCGCATTCAACCTCCTCATGGCCAGGGAAAGCAGTACACATGTCGGAGATCCCTCCTGGAGTAAGTTCACATTTTAGGGTCTAAATTGTTTAAATTAGGTCCTCCGTTTTTGGTTTAGCTGTAGCATGAAGACTATAATGACTTCAGTGCAGCTGTGTGAACACCAGATGTATGCTTTTTGTCCACAGTGAGCTGTTTGAGGTGAACCACATCAGGACCATCTACCACATGTTCATTGCTGTGCTCATTCTCTTTATTCTCAGCACACTTGTGGTTGATTTCATTGATGAAGGCAGGTAATGATCAAACTGCAAATTTTTACTTTTTTGTTTTTGTGAATACTAAGAAACAAACTACAGGGGGAAAATGTCTTGTTTACTGTTGATAAAAATATTATTAAACATCTCAACTTGTTCTTATTTGCTTCAGACTGGTGCTGGACTTTGACCTGCTGGTCTATGCATTTGGACAGTTCCCTCTGGTAGTTTGCACATGGATCTGCATGTTCCTGTCGGTGCTGCTGGTTCCCTACAACCTATTTAACCTGTGGTGTCAGAGCCAGTCTAGCTCTCATGGTCACCACAGGTTCCACAGCTGGCTGTTTGGCTCTGTATACCTGCTCTATCAAGCTTTAGGTTTGGGATTCCTCCCTCCTTATGTGGCGGTGACCAACGGTTTGCCGCCCGCGTCCTGCTTCATCGTCATCATGGAACAGGTGGATGGACCTGGAGTTTGATTTTTAATTAGATGGATGGATTTGCTGTCTTTTTTTTTTTTTTTTTTTTTTTTTTTTTTTTTTTTTTTATAGGTTGAGCATTGAAACTTCAACTGAAGTGTGCTTGTTTGTTTTTTTATTATTTCAGGTACGCCTAATGATGAAAGCCCATTCCTTTATTAGAGAAAATGTGCCAAGAGTCCTGACTTGGGCAAAAGACAAAAAAGGTATTTTTCGATTGTTTTTATTTTATTATAATTGCATTTATCTAAAATTCTTACTACCTTTTTTTTCCATGTACCGTTTTTTTGTTTTTTGTTTTTTTTTTAAAACACCCCGACTCAATTTCTGTTGTCAGGTCCTGGTCCAGTAGTCCCTCAGGTTTCTCAGTATCTTTACTTCCTGTTTGCACCCACACTTATTTACAGAGACCATTACCCCAGGTAAATGCACTCTTTATAAATATGCATAGTTGTTTCTTTCTCACAACAGCTCATTCAGTTAAATTCTTTCAATTCAGAAACCCAGTGATCAGATGGAGCTACGTGGCCACTAAGTTACTTCAAGTACTAAATAGTTTTCAATTGTTTTTACGCAAAACTAACCTATTGTTAAAACTGAAGATGTTCTTGCAGTCTAACTTTCTGATGTGCTCCACAGGTACTTGGATGTACGTTTTATACATATTACGTGTTTGTGCGACTGTGCATCCCACAGTTTCGCAGCATCAGCCTGCAGCGGTTCGATCTGCGGGCCATGGTCCTCTGTGTCTTTAACTCCATACTGCCAGGTAAATTTAGCCACAAATTTATGGACGACTTAGATTTTCTTCTTTAAATCTTGCTTCAAGATAAAAATGTTTTTTTTTATATTCTTTCACAGGAGTTTTGATTCTGTTCCTGGGATTCTTTGCCTTCCTTCACTGCTGGCTCAATGCTTTTGCAGAGATGCTTCGCTTTGCAGACAGGATGTTTTACAAGGTGCTCTGCTGATGATGATGATGATGATGACGATGATGGTTAATATCTGATGCCATACATAATTAAATGTTTTTAAATTCACCTGATAGGACTGGTGGAATTCAACATCCTATGCCAATTACTACCGGACTTGGAACGTAGTAGTCCATGACTGGCTGTTTAACTACGTGTACCGGGACTTCCTGTGGGTGAGTGGCTTCTCTGGTGAGATAAAGTGTACTAGTACTTTCTAATAACTTTTGTCTTAATTTATTTTTGTACATCCAGAGACTAGTCTTCTGCCAAGACTAAGCAAAAGTCTTTTAATGCAGAAGGACTTGCCTAAATTCTTTTAATCTCTTTTTGGAAAAATTGTTTTACAAACCATCGTGCTATATGTAAAATGTATGAATCAAATGAAACTATGCTTTTTGTTCTGACGTCTGTTCTCTCTGCTGTGATTTTATTTTATTTTTCCCCCCAGATGTCTCAAAAGCGTTTCCGACCAGCGGCCATGCTTTGTGTGTTTACACTGTCTGCAGTAGTCCATGAGTACATTCTTGTCATCTGCTTTGGCTTCTTTTATCCCGTTCTCTTCTGCCTCTTCATGTGCTTTGGAAGTAAGTTTAAAAAAAATAATAATATATAGATGGATCTAGATAGATCTGGAGAGATAGAGATAGATCTAGAGAGAGATGTCTATCAAAAATAAAACCCATAAATGTTTTATCTATAAAAAAATATATATAGATATAGATATATAGATATAGATATATAGATAGATATAGATATATAGATAGATAGATATAGATAGATATAGATATATAGATAGATATAGATAGATAGATATAGATATATAGATTATTTTTTTTTGTAAGTTGTGATTTTGTCAAACTTATTTCCCTTTTTCTGACAGTGTTGTTCAACTTTATTATGCACGACCAAAGGAAAGGCCCTATTTGGAACATATTCATGTGGACGTCCATATTTTTAGGTCAGGGTTTTATAATCTGTCTGTACTCCCAGGAGTGGTACGCCAGGCATAATTGTCCACTGAAAGAGGTAACGGCATTGCATTAAGAACGTGGTGTTCTTCCATTTATACAGTGTTTTTGTCCTGCAGATGCATAAACACCTATATACTTGCTCATGAGGGTGTTGTGTTCCAGTCTTCTTTCCTAGATATGCTGAAACCTCGCTCTTGGAGCTGTCGGAGTCCTGATGTCAGTCTCTGATATTTTGTGACCTATGACGTGACCATAAGAGGGAACTTCGACGATCAGACTTAAACAGCCTTTCATGATCAGTGTCGGGATCTCTCGTCTTGTGTATTTAATTGAAATGCAATGTGATTGTATAAAAGTGTTTGCTGAACTGCCAAAAATAGTAAAGTCACACTGATGCCTTATTTGTTGGAAGTTTTTAAAGGCAATCCCACAAAAGAATTTCCAGTTAATATAAAAGTTCTTGAAAATTCCTGTTTGTGCTTTTCTGAGGCTTTATTTTGCCTTGATCAACTTTAAAACCCCTCCATGTGCCACAAATAAGATGGTGGCAATAATGACATAGCAGCTAAGTACAATTGTAAATTTATATGTGCAATACTTAATATTAAAGTTTGCACTTGCAACTCCATTTCAAAAACTCTTCAGCATGTTGTACAGAAATGGTTGTTCAGCTAGAGAGGTTCATGTTTAACAAGTGTTAAGTACTTCTGTTGTTTTTGAGAACTTTTAGATTGTCATTAAAAATAGTAGATTTGAGGTGGGGTTTTTTTTTTTTTTTTTTTTTTTTTCCTCCAGTTGCCATTTAGGGCTCTGGAGAAGCAGACGGTGGGGCATATGGGCCTGGTTCAATGGCCCAACGTGGGGCAAATGAAGGTGGAGGCAGGTGTGGATGCTTGACCTTTCCCACCAACATTTTTTTTTTTTTCCATGTAAAATCGGCGACCTTCCAGTCACAGGCTCGCCATCTTCATCTGCCTCTGACATCTTCACCACCACTCTCCTGACTGGAGGTGACATTTAACATGATAAAATGAGGAATTGTGACTATTAAAGCCAATATTAACCAAACCAATGTGGAAGACCTAAACTCTTGTCTTGATCGTCTACCATATCACAAATTATGGAGCCAAGGTTTTAAACCATGAACTGAAGTATCTAAATGTATTGAAAAGAATTCTTGAGAATTTGTAAATTTATTTTGGTCATTCTGTTGTAGATACAATGATTTCAGCTGCAAAGTGCGACCAAAACATTCTGCTGTAAAACTTGCAGCTTGCTGCTATACCTGTATGTTATGAGTCATTAATTTATTGAGACCAAAAGGTACTGTTTGAATTTATTAAAGTATTTTACGAGTTATTGAAATCATGCATGTACCTGGTATATATTAGTCATCTTAATTTAAGACTATGCTTTTTCTCAATGTTTGTATGTGCTTAAAAATAAAAAGTCTAAGCTTTCAATATTTGAATAAGGCTCACGTTGCAAACATAAAATAAGCACGGACAAAAGGCTGTGTATGTTGGCCTTGTTTTGCTCAAGTTGTGTTTGCTATTTCTATTCTAGCATTCTCTATAGATTTTTGTTTTTAGCGAGTTGCCACGGTCTATGGTTGTCACCATCTAGACATATGTGTGTGTGTGTATGTATATATGTATGCATTTGTTGAACAAACATGTTCAACAAAGAAGAATCTGTCCAGAGGACGTTACAGAACCTTGTTAGCTTCATCTACCTGGATTATTGAGAAATGAGAATGCATATTTAGTGTCTAGAGCCTGTTGGTGAATATGTTCACCTTATGCTGTCATCTATACAATGTTCTCCTTTTCTAGTATTAATTGCATATGTGATAATCCTTTTGTTTAATCTGCATATTGTTTATGTGCAATATGCAGTGTATGTGACACATGAGAACAATACTGCATTTGTTTCTGTTGTTCACAGGGCACTACACTCGACACACATTTACACTCGCACACAGAGATCAACACCTGTATTCATGTTTGCTGTGAACTGGTTGGAAAAGAGAAGTTGAAGTTTGTGCAGTGTCCTCCCTCCTCCCTGCTTAAATCCTGCTTGTGACCCTTGTTGTGAACTGAGCTGAGTCCTGGCCTTGAAATGTTGTTGTGGCCTACCCTCCAGGTTCAAATCTGTTTCAAAACGCAGCTACTATAATGTCTTTCAGTTCTAAACCACAAGTTCTCTCTTGCCTACACAGCACTTCCAATAAAGTGTATCACCACCAGATGGCGCTATAGAACACCTTTTAATTTGATCCAGCAAGTGTTTCCTGATAGTCAAACAGTTGCAACAAGAACCTGAAAATATATAATTTTAATATGTTGAGGAACTATAGATATGTCAAGTTTAAATTTGTTTCAGCTCCACATTGACTAAAGTTTATACTTTATATTCATAATGTAATAACAGACAAGACAAGCTGCAAGGTTTACTTAAATATTTTTTGAGTGCAGGAATCTAGTTACACTTTTTTCATTCAACCTTTATTTATACAGCCTAGTCTCGTTGAGCCACGAGGATTAATTTACAAGAGGGATCTGTACACGTGACTTTGCCATCTTCCTACTGCACAGAGCACTCACCTACAGGTCAGGCAGCACTGTGAGTCATGTTCTTTGACTTTTCCAGTGCTTTTAACACTGTAAGACCTGCTCTACTCTGCAGTAAGCTCCTGGACATGCAGGTGAGGAACTCGCTGGTCAGAGACTACCTCACAGGTCGGCCACAGAGTGTGAGGCTGCAGAACACCACCTCAGACACCATACTGAGCAAGTCAGGGGGCAGCGCGCTCTGTGTTTCTGTTCACCCTCTACACCTCGGACTTCAGGTACAACTCACAATCTTGCCATCTGCAGAAGATCTAGGATGACTCTGCCATTGTGGGCTGCATCACTGGTGACCAGGAAGCTGAATGCAGAGGTGTGGTGGACAGCTTTGTGAAGTGGTGTGGACAGAACCACCTACAGCTCAACGTTGGAAAAACTAAAAAGTTGCAGGTGGACTACAGGAAGAAGATCAGCCCCCCCCCCTACACACACACACACACACACACACACTAACCCTATCAACATCAAGGGTACTAAGGTAGATACTGTGGACTGCTACAAGTGGCTGGGGGTCCACTTAGTCCACTATAAACTGGACTGGACAGCTAATACCAATTTTTTTTTTTCCTTCTTGCTCTCGGTGAAGGCGGACAATTTTCCATCCTGCTCCTTCCCTGCTGTGCTGAGTTTGTTTGTTTTTTTGCAACTTTCACTCTGTGAGATATGATTTTTTTTACACCTCCTCTTCCCTCGTGTTTCTCTTTTCCTTATCTAAACGAAAAGGGCAGCGCCTCCCAAGAGGCCACAGCCTCAGACACCTCCGTCTACCCATGTCTGTTTGTTTGTGTTTTACTTGGACGGGCTGTACTGAAATGTAATTTTATTGTGCTTCGGTGCACTAATGATTCTGATTCTGATTCCAACTCCCTCTACAAGAAAGGGCAGAGTTGCCTTTTTCTTCTGAATAGACTCAGGTCCTTTAACGTCTGCAGGGCCTTGCTGCAGATGTTTTACCACTCAGTGGTCTCCAGTGTCTTCTTCTACGTTGTGGTGTGCTGGGGCAGCAGGGTGAAGAAAGCTGATGCCAACAGACTTGATAACTCATCAAGAGAGCTGACTCAGTTCTGAGAGTGGAACTACAGTCTCTGACAGAGGTGTCTGAGCAGAAGATGCTGAGGAAACTGCTCCAGATCCTGAACAACACGTCACACTCCCCTGCATGACACACTCTTACCGCAGCACCTTCAGTTGTAGACTGAGACCACCGAGGTGCTCCATAGAACACCACAGGAAGTCCTTCCTCCCTGTGGCTATCACCTCCCCCTTTTTACAGATAGAGCAATAAAATTAATCCTGTACTACAATAAACTCTTTAATGTTTCTGTCTGCACCTGACCTGTTTATATCTTGTGTGACTCCTTGTGTATGTTCCTTTATACTGAAACTCTGGCACAACAATTTCCTGCGGGATCAATAAGAATATCTTATTTTTAATGTGATGTTGGTATTGGCTAGTTGTCATTTTACAATCATGGTTTTTAATCATGCTTGAGGGGAATTTTCTGACACATTCCATGATCAAAATGTTCATTAAAAACAAAAGCATTCTAATCTTGTATAATTTCATGCCATCTGTGAACTTTATTAGAAGTTTATCTGATGATGGTTTCATTGGAAATGGTTCATGTGTCCACAACAGTCCTGTGAAATTTGCAGTTTTAAAGCACAATATATATTTTTGTTCTTTTGGCCTTACTGTTTCTAGAGCAGCATTTACAAACTTCAGCTTAAAACTACAAGATAACCTGCAGAAACTTTTTGATCTCAGCTGAAACTGAATTCTATACTTTTTGCCAATAAAGTCAACAAAACATTTAAAATGTATTGTTTTATTGGTTCATCCCCGCTTTGTTTGATCTCATATGGATGAAGAAAAAGCATAAAGCAATTCTAGCAACAACTAGTATAAATTTTCATTTAATTTCTGGAAATCGTCTAATTATCCAGTTATTATGGTCCAAGCAGATGGCCGCTTGTCCTGAGCCTTCTGCTTCTTCTTCATGAGGGAGTTTTTCCTTTCCACTGTCGCCTTTGTGCTTGCTCAAGATGAAATTTGTGATGGAGTTAAATTCAAAGCAGTCTGCTCCTCAGATATATAGTGTTAAATTATTATTTTATTTATGGATGTTTCTGTTCAATGCCCTGTGATGACTTCTGTTTGGCGCTATATAAATAAATTGAATTTTATCCACAGCAGGGACGCGACCCAAACTTTGGACAACACTGAGCAGCGTATCGTTAACGATTATAATCTAACACAAAACACTTCAGCAGATCTGTAGACTTTAAGCCATTTTCTTTGTGACTATTTGCCCCATTGTGATCCGCGCTGGGATCCCACAGCCGGGTGTGGAGGTGGAGGATCCACTGACAGGAGCGCGAGGCAGACCCCTCCCCTCCCGCCCTGTGCAACATACTCTGCGGTAAAGATGGCGGCGTCAGAGGGGCGCGCAGCGGCCGGACAACGGCAAAGCGGGTTTGATTAGGTCCGGTTTGACCGCCTCTGGCTCGTCGGGCAGCTTTAAGAACAGCAAGGCTGCCATTTGAACCAACCGGAGCAGAGAGAATCGCTGCCACACGCCGGGGTTGTGGTTTTATTGTTAGAGGCAGGCTTGGTGGGTTTCACCCGTAGCTGCTAGCATTAGCCGAACGAGCTAACACCGACTCGTTCAGTCGGAGGGGAACTGCGGGGAGGGGATTTAGGTTTAGGCCGCACCAGCTCGGGGGAATGTGAACCAGAGGTGCGCGGTGGGGGTTGCTTGCTTCGTCCCAAACGTCCTCACACAAAACTACCGGAATGGGACAGCAGGTAGGCCGCGTCGGTGAGGTTACATCGACCGGAATTCAGTCACCACAGCCCCACGCGCCCCAACCGCAGCAGGGGAAGGGGAACCGGGGGAGCGTCGCCGGGAGGAGACCCAGAGAATCCGGCTGTAGCACCGGGACGCCACCAGGCAGGGCGACTGCTGTAAATGTACCCGACCCTGGAATTAATATATTCACGCAGCATTCAGGTAAAGAGAAAGACATCTTAATAAAAGTGCGGGTGGTGGTGTAAGAGCAGATTTTTATTTTGTTGTTTGTTTGCTGCTGTTGAAGGTCTGCTAGCAAATCTCTGCTGTTTGGCAACGACTCGTTAGCGGAAACAGCTATGACTTCCCACAATATTTCTTTTCTTTCTTTTAAGCTTTCAGTGACCCATTCATTTTATTTTGCTTTTATTTATCTATTGTCTGTATAGAAATTCGTATATTGCACTTCAATTCAAGCCTACACCCATCCGTACAGGCACAATGCTTGCAAAATGATTGCAAGTCATCAGGGCTGTTGTGTCGTTGGTAAAGTTGGGATCGTGACCCATACAACACTAAAGTGAGCTTTTGATGTCCTTGTTTAATAGCTTGTTTGAATATTTGTACATTGAATTAAACATTTTCATGCTCATAAGTTTATTTTTGTAGGTCAGGATCTAAAAGTTTGGGAATGCCTCTATTTGATGTCTACATTAGAATCACTGATTTTTGAGTCCATCCATCCATTATCTTTACCCGCTTCTTCCATTTCGGGTCGCTGGTGCCCATGTCCAGCGGTCGCTGTGCGAGAGGCTGGGTATACCCTGGACAGGTCACAAGTCCATCACAGGGACACTTATAGAGGGACAAATGAGACAAGCAACCATTCCCTCTCACACTCGCACCTTGGGACAATTTAGAGTTACCAATTAGCCTAACATGCATGTTTTTGGTCTGTGGGAGAAAACTCATGCATGCACGGAGAGAACATGCAAACTCCAACCAGAAAGGCCCCTCGGACCGGGATTTGAACAGGGTAACCTTTTCGCTGAGAGGCAGCAGCTCTACCAACTGAGCCACTGTGCTGCCCTCTATTTTAAGGCTTTGACAATTTTTTATTTTTACCAAACTAAGTCATTATTTTAACCTCTACTGAAGGGATCACACTTCAGTATCTAGTGGTTTTCAAATGTCCATGTACATCTTCTGCCTGATAATGTCCACAGTTGTAAAGCTTTAAATAAATTGACTGCAACGTTTATAAAGTATGTTGTAGACGCTAATCGGCATTATTATTATTTTTGAGTCACTTTTCATCATAGTTTTGTGCTCATGAAGCAATGAAGTTCAAGACTATTTTGATGAGATTAAATTACAGCTGTTTTTATTTTCTGACACAATATTAAATTTATAAATTGCACCAACAAAGTAGTTGTTGTATAACTAACTTGACTTAGCATCATCGTTTCTCAACAATATTTCTGCCTTAAAGCAATTTGCTGTTCACTGAAACTCATATCTAGAAACATATCTTTATTTTTAATTCTGTAAGCTGAAGAAATGGGGACTTCTTCTTCCCAGCCCTCTCCACGTTGTCACCAAGTGGCTGATCTGTGAATATTTGTAATAAATATAACAACATACCTACTAGATATATTTTGCATGTTTTATCATAATGTACCATAATCCTTCACCCCCTGTATTTGTATGTACTTTTAACACGTTTATAGTACACACAATGTCATTTTGAAGCATTCCTAACTTGCTGGTTGGTTTAGTTGTTTTTGTGTCCCCTAATAGTTTCTGGATGCTTGACGTACGTATATGTAAATGTAAAAGCAAAGCTTAACGTGTCTGATTTCCTTTTAAATCTTAGACACAGCTTTCTTTTCACACATTGCGGTGAGCTCGGACACTTGGAAGGTGCAACCTTTTTGGGAATGGAAGGCATTTTTAATTTCTGTCTCTCACATCTCGAAGTAACAGTTCTTAATGACAAGTCAGCTAAGTGCAGCACCACTGGCTGTCGGCACTGTTCTGTTCTCTCCGATGCTGGGACAAGAGAAGCCTTTTTATAGCAACCAGGATGCAGTCATACAGCCTCTTTGCAGAGCGACTGCAACTCTTCCAAGTGCACAATAATAGAACAAAGACTCTTAAGTGGCGAAGCTTCAGCCTGTGCACTCAGTCTTCCACTTGGTATCAAATCAACTTTTTATCTAGTTTATTAAGTTGTGATGAAGCATTATTATTTCATGAAATGGGATTTTTTTTTTTTTTTAAGAAGCAGGTTGTATAACAAGGAGGTCAGCATCCATTTCTGTGACATTTTTTATGGATATTTTCAAGTCACTCACAAAAAATAATATACAAACACATTCAAGTGTGACCAGAAGTTCTAAAACAATAAAATTACTTTGGTAAAATTGCAGTAAAATGCCAATTTAACCAACAAACAAACACTCAACTTCCTCAGGAGGTATTTTTTTTTAGAAAGGAACAATAGAATTAGCTTTTTAAATTGTAATAATTTTAATTTATTTTTTCTCTGTATAATTTTAATTGATGAGGCAGTAAAATAAGATTGGTCAGCAACCTTACTGAAATATTTACCTGTTCTATACAAGGAGAGGCATAAACAAGTGCACAGTTATGTATGCTAGGAGTAGTTGTGAGTAAGCCAGTGAGACAAGATGTATGATCTGGTGCAATGATTGCTACATAAAGCTACCAAGGATAAGACTGTGTTGAAGTAGCTGTATTAATTCAGCTTTTTGTCCATTAACTTTTGAACTTAACATTTATTAAGGTTGTACTTATTAGTACTGCCTCTTTTTTTATTGTCATTTGGCATATTTATAAACGTATACCTCTTGTCACAGTAGGCCTAAAACCAGTCTGTTCAAGCTGAAGAAACTGCTGGAAACTTGTTTTTAAAATGCTTCATCCACTACACTCTTATGTTTAGATCACATTTTAAATATGAAAGAATTGTTCAGGATCTGTAAATTCCAGCTTTGAACTGCTTTTTGACTTCTGTTACATGGGATAAATTTGTTGCTTGGCTAGAGTTTGCATCAGTTTTCTTCAGCTCATTTCTGATGCAGCCTCCTCGCTTTCCCATAAGACAGTACTTAACTCACAGTACAGGCAGATCAGTTAAAAATCACTGAGCTACACAAGGTCAGACAAAGAGCAGACCACCAGTGTGCTCATTCAAAGGGAGCTGGCCAAACGGATACCCTCTTGAAGTATTGGTTCCATTGTTGTATTGGCAAATCAATGGCTGCAGGATATTGATGACTGCTCCCACCTTTAGCTTTGTCAGGATTTCAGAGATCTGTTTCTGCAGAACGTTCAGTTGATGCACACAAAGGATTGATTGGTGCGGTGACAGCAAAAAAAAAAACAGTAGCAGTACCTTCGAAGGTTATTTTTATAAACTCTCGACTGAGATCTGAATGGATCAAGGAAATTGGGGCAGATGAGTGGGTTGGGAAGGGATATTTTTTTGACTGGATTACTGATGAGGCACACAGAGCCACCGCTACCTAAACGGCAATACTATTAAAGCTGCCCGGAAGGGAAAAGACGTTCTTTTATCGAGGATTTAACAGCCTAAGCTGATTTGCATCATGGATGAAATTAGATTAGAGACAAATCCACTTTTCTATCGGCTCTATGTGCTGAACCCTCAACAATCAGGACAAGTATAACCAGAAGAGTAGCATCAGGGAAAGGAAACTTCTAACATTGGCCTAATGCAGAGATTTTAAGTGGTTTTAGAAGATATGTTTTAGTAAAAGATTACCGGGTAAGTGTGGATAAAAACAAAACATTCCCGTACTGATTACTGTCATTAACCACCAGGAGGAGCCGTGGCTCACCACCTTAGTACTGGTTTAAAAATTGGGGTAAAACAGGTGAGTTTAACTGATTGCTGGCATTAGGTGTGATGATTGATGCACTTAAAAGCAAAAGGTGTTGCAGCACAGACAATTTTAATCAAACACAATTCTTTTCGGTATGTTGCATGCGCCATTAAACACTATAATGGTGGGATAGTATGTCCTGGTGCTGCCTTCCTGATCCAAAGCCTGTTCTTTTCTAAAGCCACTACTAAGTTTCTATGTCCTTCACACTGAGCCTTTTGCCTTCAGCCCCTTGAATTGATCAGCCCTGGTTTTTAACACTACTTTAGCCTCTGATAAACCTTAGCTGCCACGATGGGCCTCTATTAAAATCTGTCAGAGGAATAAAATAACCATTAATACATAAAGCTTCCGACAAATAAGTTTAAACAGTTACATTTCAGTAAACAAAATATATACATGTCACTAACTGTTTTGCAGGTGACCACTCTTCTGTAGTGCTGAATGAATTGGAGAAGATTTAATGTTTAATTTCTTTAAGAGCTGTTAATTTTACCATTGTTTTGTTTTTTGTCACGTGAATGCATGCTCCAATTTCCCATCTCCCAATTGCATCCTTAAGCCTTTGCATCTGCTACCAGTTGGCTTTAATCTTTTTTTCTTTTCCCCAAAACTGCAGATCTGGTTTTTATTCCTTGGCCTCGGCTCTATTACTTTTATCATTAAAGGCTGAAGATTAATCAGAGCTGTTAGTGATTGGCTGTGCAGATGGGAAAGAAATCCTTGCATCTGTCACCCTGAGGACACTGAGTGTTTTAAACGTTACTGATTGATTTAGTTAAGGCTTAGTTTTTACTATAATGCTCCAATAATTTTTCGGAAGAACAAAAATCTAAATTTGGGGGGGAAGAAAAAAGGCTGTCTGTGCCAAGTCTATTCATCCTGGTTTGCTTTGAAAATGTTGACTTTGCTGTTGGCATTATCGTTGCTGCTTATCTTGTGGGCTGCAGGTTGAAAACTTGGCTGGAAATGCCCTTTTTCATACACTTACTGTAGGTGCTCACATTTATACCATTTACACAAAATTATGCATTCCATATTTCGTTCCATCCAATGTAAACTTGCTTAACTTCTGTTGAGATTTATTCAACATGCTCTGCCTCTTCAGCACAATCGTCTACAGCTGACTAACATGGTCAATCAGAAACCCTTTAATCTGATCTCATGGGACTATTCAAGTTCAAGTTTCTTTGTCATTCCCATCACGTGGTGTTTGAAGTGGAACGAAATTGTGTACACAGGGTCCCACTTACATCCAACAATAGTAAACTATAAACTGTAAAAGAAACA